GAGTGAGACATGATGTCCCAGATGTGCTCAATTGGATTCAGGTCTGGGGAACGGGCGGGCCAGTCCATAGCATCAATGCCTTCGTCTTGCAGGAACTGCTGACACACTCCAGCCACATGAGGTCTAGCATTGTCGTGCATTAGGAGGAACCCAGGGCCAACCACACCAGTATATGGTCTCACAAGGGGTCTGAGGATCTCACCTTGGTACCTAATGGCAGTCAGGCTATCTCTGGCAAGCACATGGAGGGCTGTGCAGCCCCCTAAAGAAATGCCACCCCACACCAGTACTGACCCACTGCCAAACCGGTCATGCTGGAGGATGTTGCAGGCAGCAGAATGTTCTCCACAGCATCTCCAGACCCTGTCACATCTGTCCCATGTGCTCAGTGTGAACCTGCTTTCATCTGTGAAGAGCACAGGGCACCAGTGGTGTTCTCTGGCAAATGCCAAATGTCCTACACAGTGTTGGGCTGTAAGCACAACCCCCATCTGTGGATGTTGGGCCCTCATACCACCCTCATGGAGTCTGTTTCTGACCATTTGAGCAGCCACATGCACATTTGTGGCCCGCTGGAGGTCATTTTGCAGGGCTCTAGCAGGGCTCCTCCTATCCCTCCTTGCACAAAGGCAGAGGTAGCGGTCCTGATGCTGGTCCTTGTTGCCCTCCTACAGCTTCCTCCATGTCTCCTGAAGTACTGGCCTGTCTCCTGATAGTGCCTCCATGCTCTGGACACTATGCTGACAGACACAACAAACCTTGCCACAGCTCGCATTGATGTGCCATCCTGGATGAGCTGCACTACCTGAGCGACTTGTGTGGGTTGTAGACTCCGTCTCATGCTACCACTAGAGTGAAAGCACTGCCAGCATTCAAAAGTGACCAAACCATCAGCCAGAAAGTGTAGGAACTGAGAAGTGGTCTGTGGTCACCACCTGCAGAACCACTTCTTTATTGGGGATGTCTTGCTAACTGCCTATGCTTTCCACCTGTTGTCTATTCCATTTGCACAATAGCATGTGAAATTGATTGTCAATCAGTGTTGCTACCTAAGTGGACAGTTTGATTTCACAGAAGTGTGATTGGCTTGCAGTTACATTGTGTTGTTCCCTTTATTTTTTTTGAGCAGTGTAAAATAATTACGTATTTTCTTCCTTGGAACATGAAATTTAATGGAAGAAAATGCAAGAAAGGAATGTACAGATATATTTAATGATACATTTGGAGAGACCTATAGCAGTGGACACAAAGCTGGATTTAGAGAGATGCAAATTGCCAGCTTCCATTATATAACTTTTTTTGCAGTATTTCCTGCCCTTTTTCATTTAATCTTAGGCAGGGGAGAAAGGATTTGCAAGCAGGAAATAATGGGTCACTTTGTTCTTTTTTTGAAGCTGCTTTTCATGGTCACCTATGCAGCTGCAGAACTGTGAATAACCACATGCTATTTTCTGAGTCTAACCCTGTACACAGCATACAAATATGTAGCTGGTTGTCAGACCGAAAATGAGAACCACTTCACTTAGACTGCTTTAATAGGGCTTAGGGAAAGTACATAAAATATTAACCAGCCATGACTTTAAACTCACTACAACTACCACCATAGGTATTATTGTGATTCTTGATTGAGTGATAATCACAGAGGACATTGTGTTAATGCCTTTTTATCTATTTATTTTATTCAAGACAAAGTTAAAATACAAAACTCCAAACAAAAAATTCCACAGAAAAGAAAAAAGAAAAAAAAGCATTAAAAAGTGCATCAAAAAACAAGAACAACAACACATAAACAGATATAATCCCATCTGGTTGAATACTGATTAATACACTTTACTATTAGTTCCCGCCCCTGGTCAAACAGGCCCTCTCAAAAATTTTAAACTACTAAAACAATTTGCAAATTATTGACCCACTTTCTATAAGCTATATAGTAGTTAACAGAAAGAAGAACAGTAAAACAAAACAAGATTAAAGTTTCAAAACTCTCTGTTAACAAACTTGTTATTGTAATCCACTCCAGGAAAATTTACCCTGGCATTTTATCTATCTCAAATCATACCAAAAGTCATAAATAATATTTATGCCTTTTGAGCACCCATAGCATTTAGGGAAAATACCTGTGGAGAAAGAACCTCGTAAATTTTTTTAAAAAAATTAGCATAGAAGGTGTGTATCCAGCTGTGTGTTCATTTTAGCTGATGTTCTACTTTAATTAGTCATTGCAACTGCACAGCTGATGACAGGATCTTGAAGAGAAATAAAGGACATAAAATTGCCTGCATCTACAAGTTCTTGCATGGTCCCACAATCATGCCACAGATGGATCGTTTGAATTGTTGAGCACTCTCATGTAAGATCCCACCTGTATTCTGAAGTGGTACAATCCAGAAAGCATTGAGCAGACTGTAAAACATTACCCAGGCCAGCTGCTACTGTTTCATTGCTGGGGGGGAAGCTTTCAACAAAAAAATGTGATTTATGACATTGTGATATTAATACAAGAGTTGCATCATGTATACCAATGCTCTTTGATGTGTCATCCAAAGCACCCACACTGGGCTTATGCTCAGGCTGTGCTGCCAAGGAAATGTAAATTCTTTCTTCTGTACCCCAATATGTTTGGGCTAAATTAGGCCTTCAGGGCACAGCTTTTGTGAATCTCAGCTTTGTTCAATGGCAACTGGATTCTCCGCCTCTTGATTTTGTTTGTTATTGCACTGTTCTCTCAGTTTCCTCCTGTGAGCCGGCAGTGATTGGGTTAAATGCACTCAGTGAAGCCCAGTCTTTGTGATCAGAAGAGCCATGTCATTGTATGCCTCCTCTCTAGCATTACAGGGTTCCTGTTTTTGTTTTTTCTCAAGAGACACTGGGAATTTCCCCACTAGTACCTTTGAGTTTGCTCCTTTTATTTAAGCATGCTTGTGCATTTTAAAGGTAGGTAGGCTGTAGAATCATCCTAAATGCTTGCATTGTTCCTGGATTTCAATCTCTTCAGTAAAGCCAGGTTGTTGTTGTTTTTAGTAAAGCTCTCTCAATAATCCTTGCAAGGCTTGGATATGTGCTTCTGTAATAAACATCATACTGTATTTCTTCCTTGGGATCATTTTTGTCCAGCCCTTCAGCACTGTAAGTCCAACACAAGAGGCAACAACAACAACAAAAACCTCATGCAAATCCATACAACTGACCTATAAGTGGGAATCTTGTTCATTCAATGAATGGGCCTGTTGAAAGAAATATCCTTCTGGGCTCAGTTCCAAGTGGGGGAAAAAGACACTGGAAACATGGAGGGTATTTGGAAAGATGGTTTAATGGTGGACAGCAGGACCACATGGCTTGGAGCTCCAAAGTGAAAAAGAAAGGATGATCACATACTTCAAGGTGAGAAGGTCAAGAAGGGAAGACCAAGATGCTGAGAGACCCTTATGTAACCTCTGTTGGACCCCACCTTAATGTTTCCTGTTCCTGTATAAAAAATATATCTCATTGGCTGTCAGACTCCGAGGGGCAGGGTCTTAGATAACTTTGTAGGCTTTGTCTGGACTACATGGCTTCACCTGAGTGTTGGCTGATACAATCTTCCCAGGCCAGGTGGTGAGATGGGTAGACCTTTGATTATGTAGAATACTCTTGACCTAGTAGGCCTTAATGGCCCATTAGCAAAGGGGGGGGGCTGAGTTTCTGCTTCTCTAAGTTCCTACTTTACTCTTTTTAGGGGAAATATTCTGCCTTTTTAATATTTCCCAGGTTATTTCATTTTTCTAGGAGAGGGGTGGGTGCTAACTTCCTACAGGCCTTACCACCAAGCAACCTCTTCCCAATTTAGCCTGCCCCAGTGAGACAAACTCAAGATATACACATATGTTCTTCAGTTGTAACATGGTTTGTTTAGTTTAGAACACTAGTTTATGAACAATGTTCAAGTTTATATAAATGATATAGTTTATAAATCATGGTTTGTAGCTTACTTTGCTCTTTTATTAAAGCATGCTATGAACTGTGAACCCAAGCATAGGGCTGTAGCTGGCCTCAGTGAGACAAACTCAAGGTATGCATGTATTTTATTCAGCTGTTAACATGGTTTGTTTTTAGTTTAGAACACTAGTTTATAAATCATGTTCAAGTTTATATAAATCATGTTCTAGTTTATAAACCATGTTTTGCAGCTTCCTTTCCTCTTTTATTAAAGCATGTTATGGATTAGCACACTGTGAACCCAAGCAATAGGGCTGTATCTTACGTTTTGTATGGTATTACAAACCCCAAAGCAAGAACAAGCTTTTCACAGCCTTGTGTCTTCCATTGCATAATGACTACAATGCCCATTAAACCAAAGCTGGCAAGGCTGAACTGATTGGGAATAATGGGAGTTGGAGTTTGAATATCTGGCGGATTTGTGGAAGGATGGAACAAAGGCGTTGCGCAATGAACACAAACCCCCATCCCCCCAAAACCGAGATTGGACTTGAACAATTTTTTGCTCCCATTTTTGGAAGCAGCTAAACGAAGGATGATGCATTCCCGCAGTTTTGCTTCTGGATTTCGACAAGTTTCGTGAGGAAAACTGCGCTCTTTTTTTTTTTCCTTTTTTTTTTTTTTGGTGCCTTCTTCCTTCGCCGGGAGCTGCAAAAGGGGGGCGTAACGCTCTCGTGCGCGCGCGCTCTCCCCGGTTTCCTTGACAGAGGCGCCTCTGATTCGCTGGGGACGAAGCCCGGCCTCCAAACCCTCCAGCTGGACGTGCGCCTCCTCTTCGCCCCGCCCCTTTACCTTCTGGGGTTCCCTCCCCTCACTCGGAGACTGCCCGGAGATGAGGACGGGAGAGAAGCGCTCCGATTGGTTCGCGCTCTTGCGGCGTTTCTACTGGCCGGTCGGGGAGCGAGGGGGCGTGGTCGGAGCGCGGCCATTGGCCGCGGCAGAGGGGTGTGCGCGAGAGGGATGGAAGTGGCTGTTCCTGGGCTGGCGAAGCCAAGCGGCGCGGCTGGAAGGGGCGGGGGGAGGGGGCGGCGGCCGGAGGCGTTTCTGCTGGGGCTGCAGTCGCCGCCGCTGGGCTCCGAAACCAGCCGGACCCTAAGCCTTCCACCGCTTGCCTGCTCTGCCCCCGCTCGCCGGCTGCACCATGAACAGAAGCAGCGGCGCCACGTCTTGCACTCCAACGGTCCCCGGCGACGGCCACAGCAGCGGGCACGGGCGCAGCGAGTGCCGTCGGGTCTGTAGCAACTGCCGGAAAGTCCTGAGGCAGGTGGGTCTGCCCTCTCTCTCCCTCTCTGTCTCTCACCGAAATGCCGGGTTCGGGTTGGGGGGGGGGGTCCTGCTCCGCCTGCCTTTCCCCGGTGCCCTTCTTCCGGAAACGCAGGACGACAGCACCCATTATCCGCGGCACTGGCTGAGAATGACGGGTTATAGTTCGGCACCCCTGGGGAGTGCGGGGATCCGGCTGAGGGAAGGCGGCTGGGGCTGCTTCGCTCCGGCCACACCTCCTCAGAAGGGCTTTGAGAAGGTAGTTGGGGAGAAATCACCATAATAATAATAATAGTAATAATAGTAATAATAATAGCGTTATTATTGTTTTGGGGTTGTTTTGTACCTTGGGAGGGTTTTGCAACGATTTCCTCAAAAATATATAGATAACACACAAACATGTATGTAATATGTAATGTGTGTGTGTGTGTATATATGTATATTTATATGTATGTGTATATGTGTGTGTGTGTGTGTGTGTGTGTGTGTGTGTAATACGTGTGTATACACACACACACACACACATATATATACACAGACACATTCTCTGCTGCTTCATTCAGATATATGTACGCACAAATATAGGAGAAATTATGTATATATAGACATATATGTATTAGCTTGCTAAGATTATTTTATTTTTTTATGGCAATAAATGTATGCTCACATTTCCCTATATCTCTTGTCATGGTTCAGGGATATAAAATAAGGTGCAGGCAATAAAAACACCTAATAATTTTGTGTCAAATTATGTGCTGATTGATGTTGTGTGAATACTGTTTGGTAATGTTGCATTCCCATTGTGCCTTTCCTGTATGTGGTGCTTCTGGTTTTGCCTTTTCCCAAAATGTTTCCCAAACAAATATGGATTTTTTTTTATATAGTAAGATCTCACTTCTTTAAAGGAAAAGTGTTTGGGGTAATGCATAAGAAAAACAACTTTAAAAAAAACAGGGCATGACATGGGAACAACTATAGTAGCTAATCATGTTCATTAAAATCAGAAAATGAGTGGAGATGTTCTTTTGATCACCTCTAAGTGATAACCAGCTAGAATATGGGGCTTACTCTTAAGTAAATATGGATGTAGGAAATTGGGTCTTTGTGAATGCTAGTAATCCTTGTGCTAGTAATAAAATACAAGTAAGGCTACTAATCCTCTGCTAATAATCTTTATGCTGCAATAAAATACAAAAATAGATGATGGCTAAATAACTGTGAACACTGCAGTGCCTTCTGCACTTCCATCACAGAAAGATAAATGATATTTGTTGTGTCATAAATCCAAGTGCCAAAAACAGCAGATTCATGATTTGCAGGTTTTTGAAATTGTATTGTGATTCATTTAATATCTTAAAATCAGCCTTCACCAATCTGGTGCCTTCCAGATGGACCACGGTTTTTATAATCACCTTATATCGGCTAAGATGGGGAACGCTGTATTAAAAATTATCCAAACATATCTATATTTAAATGTTATAAGCACTTATAAATCCCACTGATTTTAGTTGGAGACTAAACTGGCATTTGTTCATATCTTAATAACTGTGTTTATATTGCTGCATTTCTATTGCTTTTTTCTTATTATTTCAACTCTGCCCTGTTGACCCTGAAAATTCAAGCTTGGAAAAATTCAGAACAAATACTGTGACAAAGTTCTTTTGTTTAGATTGTGTATTCCCCTTTCAAAGCTTTGACTTCTATAGTTATTGTCTCCTATATTAATTTCTCCCTAGCAAAGTTGTGTGAAAATTTCACTGTATTTTTCTCATCTCAGCCTTCATGCTTCATTATATAGTTATTGTTAATGAAAAGGCTTTTAGACAATACTAAGATTTTGCACCTGATGAACTTTTAACAAAGGACACTAAAGGACTAATATAGTCTTCAGAATTGACTGTTCCGGTATTATCCATCACAATAATAAATTCCTTCTGATGGAAGAATAAAATTGAAAAAGTAAGGAATGGCTGGATAGTAGGGTTGGTACTATCAGACTGATTGATTTGTGGGTCTTCCAAATATTGTTTTCAACACAAGTCTTGGTCAAAATTGATATGTTTGTGCAGCTGATTGGTTATGCTCCATCAATGTTTTGTGAGATCTTTGTTATATTGAAGTATACAATTAGGGGAACATTCCTTACTCCCTGCATATCATTGGCTGGGTACATGCATTGCACTAGACCACAATGATGCAAACCATATTATACTCTTACTTGTTGTCTGAACCAGGCATTACATCATATAATATCTGAATCCAGTTGTTTGTTCAGTAAACCATAGTTTTGCAGACTGTGGGTTGATGTATAAATATACTTATTGTATTAATGCAGTACAGGCAACTTTTTTTTATTCTGTCCAAATAAATACTATAATTATCGGAGAAAATCTATATGATCGTGAAGAGTCAACACTATCTTGATGACACATAATAAGTTTAATAAAAACTACATTGTAATTGATTGGACAAGAGAAATCCATGCATACATTTATGTTTCTATGTGATCATAGAAATACAAATCTTAAGACATATGCATAGATTTGTCTTATCCAATTAATAAAAGTTGCCCTGAATTTAAATGAATCTATTGTTTTAAAAGTATGGAAGAAGTTAAAAACTATAAATTGTTAATATCTTGAGAGACCCTTCTCACTGTTTTTCCAAAGGAAAAAAGTCAATTTGTTTTGGTTGTCCATGTATGGTACCTAACAACTTATTTAATTTGCATTTTGAAACTCTCAATCTGGTTCTAAAATTGAGCTAAGCCACAATGTCATTCATTTTCACTTAGCATGGTTGTATCATCCAAGTCCTTGGGAAAATCATGATTGTTGGTATGTTGTGTGAATTACGGCAGTTCAATAAACGTTGGTAAACAAAATTGTGTCTAAGCAGGCTTCAAATTTTGGTGGATGGTGGTTACAACTGGAATTTCAAGAATATGGCAGGCATTCTTCCAAGGTAACTGCTTGTGAGTAGAGTTTTCTGCTCATAAAATGTCTGCTGTGTAAATCCCTAATTTAACAAACATCTTGCTACCTCCTCACAGAAGTACCATCTATGTGGCTCCTAGTTTATGCAACATTTATGCTTTTCAAGCAAGGGGTGTGTACCTGCACCAAATCACTGGGGGTATCCTTCACAATGTTTATTTCCAAGGAGATTTCTGGGGCCCATTTGGGTTACAAAGGGCATTTTATAAATAAAAAGTCATGATGGAGGTCGACATTTTGTTTTCGGTAGGTGAGCTTTTTAAATTTTTGGTAAAGCAATTTCCCTAGGAAGGCAGATTGGTGGGTGCAAAGGAAGGGGGGGGGCTTTGAATCACTGTGTGCACCCATATGCAAATTTATTCAAATGAATGACGTATTTGGATTGCATCCTTTCTGAGTGATAAAATACTGAGGAAAAGAACACCGTGTGCCCACCTTGAGCTCCTGGCAAGGTGGGATATAAATCTGATAAATAAACCAAATGCAATTTAATTTGTTTACCAGGTAAAGCTCAGGTAAAAGTCCTTGCAACTGCAGCAACACTGTATTCCATTAGTTGGCAATAGCGGCTTCTTTGTTACAGTAATTAGAATATGGGTTATACACAGGAGGAACTTTGGTTCTAATCTGTTCAGCAATGAAATTCACTGGTGATTCTTGGACCACCTGTCTCCTAATTAAGCTTATCTTCCACTTCTCTGTGGAAAACAGGCAGGCTGGGAAAAAATGTTAAGAACCCTGGCTAGCTTGTAAACTGGCATGTAGTTGAAACTCTCCCATTAAACTCCTACAAGGGATATTAACACAACTAAGAATCTAAGCTAAGTAATGTTGAGCGGAGGGGGAAAAGGATAAGGAGGAGTACTTGACCTTAATGCTTGTTCCCAGCTCTGTAAGTAAAGTCGAAAACCTATAAACAATAAACCAAACTGCTAATGTCTGCCTTCACCCCCCAAAACCAAACCTCTCAAAGCGCATTCTTAACAATATTAACATCCTGGTCATCTACAGGTTAGCAATATTCCGATCATTTTATCTCTTAGTACATGTGGCTAACTGAATGCATTAGCTGAGATGTTTTTTATTTGTCTAGTGCAAATGAATTAAAACTGCTGAGCTGTGCAAAAGCATCAACTTACAGCAAAAGTTTTGTTTGCCTTTGTTCTTCTCTCCCTCCCTCCCTCCCTCCCTCCCTCACACGCGCACACACACACACACATACATACACACACACACACACACACACACAGACAGAAAGAGGTGGGGACAACTTCAAGTCTCACTTTGGCAACCTCTTTCTAATTATATCTTTGCACCATGATTTCTCTTGTAAATATGAAGAAACATGTAAGTCAGTGAGCTCAAATATTTGTGCTCTTTGTCCCAAAGCTGTTTTTCTTTTTTCCTTCCTCTGTGAGGCCAAGTGCCAATCAAAGTTGTTTTTCAAGCCATGAAATTGTAGAATTCTCTCTTCCGTTCTCCCGAAGGGTTTGGCTCTGGAAAACAGGCATGGGGGTAAGGGATCAAACTATTTTTTAAAAAAAGCTGTACTGTAAGTGCTTTAGACTCATAAAAACTGTATCCTATGCTAACCAATGTCTATGTTTGCTACGTGTATTTACTTCTAGCTCTCCAGACACTGGTGAACTCTTGGATCATATTACACATCCTACTTGATCTTTCCCCCTCACCCCTTTGCAACTTGTGAGAAATTTCATGAACTTGAGAAGCAAAGAAATGTACAGCTGGATTCCTGTCTTGACTGAGCTGTCCCTTCACTAAAGGTCTTCTGTCTTGGATAAGCTCCACTGCACAGAAGATGGAATAGAAGTGTGAACCAGATAATCCCCGATTCAGATTTTATTTTAAAAATCAATGTGCAGATCAGGCTAGGAAACTTGAACTATTGCTGAACTGGAAATCCCTGCAATCTTCAAAAGGGGCTAATGCTTTCTGAGAGTTGTAGTTCATAAATATCTTAGTGTCACAATTTGCCTATTTCACT